CTGCTTCCTGATTCTTCCCCTTGAACTGTGTATTAGCTGTTTATTTACACAGACATTTTCTAAGGAGCTGCAAGAAAGTTGAGTAGGCTGAACTTTGCCTGGTTTCAGTCACTGTATTTATTCTGCTCACTAAGAATAATCTTCTGTTTTGCAAACTAATTTTTAATCTTCCCATGGCTGGTACTTGAATCCTGTGGTACATTTCAGAGACTGTACCAGAGCTACAAATCCCCAACCCTTAGCTGCCACTGCCACCTGGAGTTTAATAGCTACATACAAAACATGCAAATCTCACAGATACAGCACACACTTCGTCTCACAGGCTGCAGAATCACTCAATGTTGGGGGTTGGAAGGGACCTCCAAAGATCATCAAGCTCAACCCCCCAGCCAGAGCAGGACCAAAACCAGGGCAGGTCACTCAGAAAGGCATCCAGACAGGTCTGGAAAGTCTCCAGAGAAGGAGACTCCACAGCCTCTCTGGGCAGCCTGTCCCAGGGCTCTGTCACCCTCACAGGAAAGAAGTTCTTCCTCATGTGAAGGTGGAACTTCCTGGGCTCCAGTTTGAATCCATTGCCCCTCGTCCTGTCCCAGGGCACAAGTGACAAGAGCTTGTCCTGCCTTCTTGCTGCCCTCATGTATTGACAGACATTCATTAGATCCCCCCTCAAGCTTCTCCTCTCCAGACTGAACAGCCCCAGGTCTCTCAGCCTTTCCTCCTAAGGCAGGTGTTCCAGTCCCTTCATCGTCCACGTAACCCTTCAAGTAGTTCTTATCCAGCAGCACTGACCCCTGTGCAAGGTCTGTGCACAGTAGATCTCATTTCCAAAGTCTGGACACTCAGCACAGAAAGCCAAGCTGAGATGGTGAGAAGAGCTCAGAGGCACTGGAAACCTCAGACCAAGAAGCAAAAGCCACCAAGTGCTTTTAAAAACCTGATCTCAAACAAGTGTGGTAAACACTTGAAAAATCCCAACCTCAAATATTTCTCTGAAGTCAACCTCTCCATTGCCCATACACACTGAAAAACAGAGATCAAAGTTACCTTTATAGCAACCATGAAGTCAAAGTGTGAAAACAAGCAGTTATTGCAGGGACAAGCTGTCTCCTAATACAAATAAAACAGGTATCCTGGACACACTGAGGCTACATTGCAGGCTCTTAACCAGTAAAAGACAGAACATTCCAACTGGTCTGCAGAAGAACTCCCCCTGGTAGCAGAGACCCGACAGAATAATTTTAAAAGTGTCAGTGGGGCCTGTCTTTGGGTATCATTAATCCATTCCCACCATGTTGCCTACCACAAAGAGCAGAGTTGTGTTTAGTGGCAGGAAAGCAAAAAGCAAAGAGCACGTCGGAAGCAACACCCTGTGAGCAGCTTAAGAAATCCAGGTGCTTTGAGTCTCCTATGTGAATGATCAGCTCTTTAGGGTTTTCAGTTTATTCTTGCACTTGTAAGAGAAGCACATAAAAAAAGACTTGAAGAACTGCTGAACACAACTGTACTTGGTAGGGATAAGGAGACTGGTTGTCACAGTGCGACATCCTGTTTGACCTCCAAGTATTTCAAGAAGTTATCTGCAGTGAAACCGTTATTCCCTCTCTAACTGCCAGCCTTTGCTTTTGTATTCAGCATGACAATTTGTTTGGCTTTCAGTCTGACCATCACTATCACAAAAACATCTGGCAAATCAAAGAGCAGTTGAGACTGATGGTGGTTAACAACCCAAACAGAGCACAGGTCTTTGCGCGGTTGCTGCGCTGACTTGACAGCAGCAAGAAAAGAAGGAGGACAGTCAGTGTTCTGTAGCACAGCTGATACAGGAGACACTGAAGGGAACCCTCTTAGCTTCAGACTGGGGTTTTTACAGTCACCTTTTCTATTGAAGAAAACAGCTTGAGACTCCCTCTAAAGCCAAAAGGTCTCAGTGGAAAAGGTCTTCCTGGAAAACCAGGAGCTCTGGGAAGGCAAACTTCACCAGGTACAACATCCTCCTGGTACCCAGGCCAAGCAGAAAGACCCCAAACTTTCAGCCCAACAGGGATTGTTTCAAGAATCTACAAACAACTGCAGAAAAAGCAAATGCAAACATGTCAGGCTGTACCTACTAATCACCACAGGAAACATGACTATGAAAAGCTTGCTTCTATTTTCAGTTTATTTCATCACATCTACTTTGAGACGAAATTACCAAAGCATTGACACAGCAAAATGGTACCACTGCAAATATAACACAGCCAAATACTTTTAACTGTCAGCCTCTCTCTCTCTCCAGCTATATTGGTTACTTGGAGGCACTAAATAGTTTGTGCTGTATTTGTATTTCATGCAAGACTGAACACTGATGGGAAGGGAACAAGCCTTTCCTCACAACACAAGATTAGCTACAACTTTAAAAAGCAACTATTATCTTCTATAGAGGTATTTGCAACCAGGCTAACATCTATACAACCCAACAGGTGAGGCTATATTTAGCTGAAATTCAACATCACTGCTAAAAAACACACAGTCTAAGTAATATCCAGTTTACCTACAGGAAAGTAAATTTGTCTGACAGTGAATCAAAATAAAAAGAGTGAGTGAGCATTACCACAGTCTGAAGAGGTGCTGTTCAAAGGCAAACTTCTGTGATACAACCATTTTAAAGAACAGCTTCCTCCTGAATCACTAGGACTGGTTCACCCCTAAGGGCTAATTATGCCCTCAGGGATGATCTTGAAAAGACACTGAACCTACACTCAAAGCAATCAGTCATTGCTAAATAAAATCAGATTATCTTTTGACAACATTGCACTTGTTATTCTGGGGGGAGATGGCTCTGAGGGAAGGAGTTGTTTTATTTTTATAGCCACATAAGCCTACCTGGGTGTGTTATTTAGAGAAAAAAATTATGCTATATGACATGTGAAAAAAGAAAGGCAGCTTCCCTTCTTCACTGTTAGTGACCACTAAAGAATTACAGGAGTAGCAGAGAAAGAAGGGGAGGGCTGTGCCAGCAAGAGGCAGTTGTAAGGAACAAGATGATCTTCTAGGTCCCTTCCAACCCAAACAATTCTATGATAGTTTTAAGTCTTTGAAACTGCAGATTGATATAAGTAGATCCTACCAGATGACCCAACACTGGCACTACCCCGAATGTTGAAGAAAAAGATGTACCTACTTATCTGGATAATGAATTCCTGTGCCTGGAACATCACAAGGAAATCCGAGTTCTCTGGGGATCTTGCCTTTGCAAGATCCTGCTATAAAAAATTATAGCAGGAAGGTGACCTTCCCTCCAGTACTACTGTAATTTTTCAAATGATCACTTTTTATACACCATTAGAAAAGCAGCATTTCATTCACACCCCAAGCCAGAAGCAACACAACCTGGGTCTGAAAGGGAGCCAGTGTGAAAATCCTGCCCCACACAGGAGCCAGGACATAGTGCTGAAACCCCCCTAAGCCTCTCAGAATTGGTAGGCTGTAAAGCACAGCTCATCTAGCATTCCTGTCTCCCAAAGGCAACTGAGATATCTGGGGGATGTGGTACACCTTTCCAGGCAGGCAGTGGCCCCTCTACCCCCTCCAAGCAGGGGATCTGCAGCAAACATGTGTCCTTACCTGCCCCCTGCCCATTTCCACACAGCCACATCTCCAGCAGCCCAGTCCCCAGCCCTGCTAACCAAATCCACCTGTCCCCTAAACCTCCTTGCAGGCAGACAGAGCAATTAGGCTTCTGGATCACACACACAGACAGTAGTAACAAATGAATAAATAAAAATAAAAGGCTGAAACAGTGATCCAGCTGCTCTGCAGCATGCAGTATAACTGCCAGCACATTGCAGCCTTCAGAACTGAAGCTGAAAAGATGTATTGAACCAGCCTCCTACAATCCCTCCTCTGCTCCCAACCAGCAGCAGCAAAGATGGACACAAAAAAGAGGTAAAGTCACTGCTGCTCCTTGCTAAGCCTTTGCTTTATTGCTTCAGACTACAAACTCAAATAATAGTCCCTTATTTTATAGCTGGGCTAAGGTTAATGAAAAAAACATACAACCAAACATGTCAGATACTTGATGGGCAGAACACACCACCAGGCACCTAAAAAACCTTGGGCTGAAGAACAGCTGAGATCCTGGGGAACAAAGGTGTTGGGATCCCAAAGCTACTAGACCCACACAGAACATGATTAGAACTTCAGAGCTCAGTTCTGGAAGGAGATGCCTCCACTGCAATAACCAGAAGTGCCTTCGCAGAGGCATCAGGAGAGGTACAAACAATTTAGCAGGCAGGAAAACTGGGCACACTCTCATCATGAGAGATAAAAGAAATAAGACTAAATTCCATTTAGGCTCCAACTGAGCAGCACAGGGAAGCTCAGATCAACCTTCCCATGGCTCTGCCACTCAGAACCAAGGCTTCTGAACTGCAGGGCAGGCAGTCTCCTTCCTTATGCTTGCCCTTTGTTTTAAAAAGGTATGAAGTTCATCAAAACTGTTCTCTGCAGCTCATAGGAGAACTACTGATCTAATCACCTAGTGGATTGTTAGTTTTAACTACTTCCTTTTCTGGGAAAAATATTCCAGTAAAAAAATTAGAGCTTGAAACTGAAATAAAAGTAGGGGACTAAGATGCAAAGCCAAGATGCAAAGCTGATCTTTAAATATTTTTATTTAAAGACCTGCACTCTGGGAGCTAGAGGCACATGAGACTATTGTCTTCTCTCTCCAGGTGCCTTAGCAGATACATGAAACCCTGTGCACTCTGTCTGATACACTCTCCACATGTTGTGGTGTGCAGCACACAGAGCACCAGCCAGCTTCACTCCTTCCCCTGCAACAACCAGCTACAAACAGCCCCTGCTTAAACTGTGTTCTGCCTCTGAGCAAAGCCTACCATGACCGAGGGCTGAGGGCACCATCTTTAACACAAAGAACACTATATGCCACTTCCTCTGTTAAAAAACTACCACTAAGACTTCAAAGCCTGATCCACCAGCTGGTCTTTGCAGGACCTCACCTTGTTTTGTAAGTGCTTCTCTCAGAGCCGGGGTAATCATCTCTCTCTTTTCACCTTCCTCCTTCCTCCCAGTGCTGTCTCCAGCCAAGCTCCTTCCAGCATCATCTTCCTCCAGCTCACGTTCCCTCTGTAAGGACAGTGAATTACAACTGTTTAGATCCCAGCATCACAATGCAAACACCATGGCACAGTCCAGCCACGGACCTGCTGGACTTCAAACTGACATAAGGGAACACTCCTGAATTCTTGCCTTCATGTAATCCTGCATTTTATCCCTCTCCCCAGGAAATACTAACCCTTCTAGTTACATAGGACAGGAAATTTAGAAAGAAAAATAACCCCACACATAAGATAGCTCTGTTCTGTTAATACAGAAAAAAAGCTCTGGGACTTTTTAAGTAACAAGGTGTTTGAATCTCATCTGAGAGCAAGAAGGACTCAAGGATTTAAGCCCAAGTGTTTCATGATGGCACAATAATCTCAGCTCTCAACTGAACACAAATGGGAGGGAACAAACAGTTTGGTGCCTGACACACAATTGCCAGGAGTGACAAGCAGCTATTGTCCCAATTATTTGGGACAGGTCAGGGAAGAAAGCCATACCACTGCAATGAGGTACCCCAGGAGTTGATAGAACAGAAGTTTTGCTCTTCACAAGACCCCAGCCAAGTGCACCACAGAAGTTCATGTCATCACCAAAGGTCCTGCAAGAAAAGGCCAATTCCCCTGCCCCACAGTCACCTCCAGGCACAAAAGCTGCATCCCACCTAAGTTCACCTTCGAGAAAATGCTGCTTTACAAGACACACCTAAGCCCTTGGAGCTAGCTTAAAACCAAACGCAGGAACATCAAGTATTAGCATAAAGTCACAGGCAGGAAACACATAAGCACACAAGACAGTGTGAATGCCCTGCTGTTAAAGTGTCACTTCTGAGACTTTATAGGTATTTATTGTTTCATGCCTGCACAAAGAAGCATGAAAGTGTAAATAATTACTCTGATATGTCATGCAACTTGTGATCTGTCAGCTCATTATGGCTTTTTTGAAATATTAGAGGAGATATGGATAAACAGCAAACAAAAGCCAGAGGACATTTTGTTTTCACAAAACTGAGGCTACTCCACATCCAAGCTTCTTTTCTGCCAAAGACATGAAGTTCATACAAACGTTTCCAGTCTGAGTCTACCCACCAACTGTTGGCAGACAGAGGTTATTCCCTTTCCTACTCCTGAATCCAACTCTGCTCAGTCTCAGTGCTATTGGGCAAGTAACGACCAGCAACACAGGGTGGTCGTCACTGAAGGAGAAAACTGCTTCCATCACCTGCTCCTTTCACTCAGTTTGCTGGGTTTTCAGGCAGAACTTCATTGGTTTCTGCAACACATCAAAACTTCCTGGTGTGCATCAGGAGGAGTGTGTCCAGCAGGCCTAGGGAGGTTCTCCTCCCTCTCTACTCAGCCCTGGTGAGACCTCACTTGGAGTGTTGTGTCCAGTCCTGGGCTGCCCAATTCCAGAGGGACAGGGATCTACTGGAGAGAGGCCAAGGGAGGCTACAAGGATGATGAAGGGACTGGAACACCTGCCTGAGGAGAAAAGGCTGAGAGACCTGGGGCTGTTCAGTCTGGAGAGGAGAAGCCTGAGGGGGGATCTAATGAATGTCTATCAATACATGAGGGCAGCAAGAAGGCAGGACAAGCTCTTGTCACTTGTGCCCTGGGACAGGACAAGGGGCAATGGATTCAAACTGAAGCCCAGGAAGTTCCACCTCAACATGAGGAAGAACTTCTTTGCTGTGAGGGTGACAGAGCCCTGGGACAGGCTGCCCAGAGAGGTTGTGGAGTCTCCTTCTCTGGAGACATTCCAGACCTGTCTGGATGCCTTTCTGAGTGACCTGCCCTAAATTTGGTCCTGCTCTGGCAGGGGGAGTTGGACTCAATCTTTGGAGGTCCCTTCCAACCCCTGACATTCTGTGATCCTGTGGTTCCCTGGCAGGCTGGCTCTACTAAATACTTGTCAAATGTTGGGTTTAAAAGCTTACTTCTTGAGACTTGATCTTAATTTATCAGCAAGATGCTTCAACAGTAAAATATTAATATGACTGGAAAAGCCTCATGCATAAGGAAGGAAGGAGATAAAATCCTCATCTTTAAACTATTAAGTCTTAAATAAAGAGCTTCCCCTCCCACAAGCTACCACTGAACCCAGAACTAGGCCCAGCCATCCACAGATTTGTCAGCTACCTGAAGCAAAATGCTGTGCAGCATCTGCCCAGCCTGTCTGCTCTGCAATCCCCTGCCCGATTAATTCTCCCAGAAGAACTAAATATGCATTATGAAGCACATCATATTAAAAAAATAACTGACTGCAGCACAAATGAAACATCCCATCCCAGACAGCCTTCAGATACAGAAAAAGTCCTTCTAAATCAAAGGGCTTGCATTTCTACCTACTACTGTGCCTGTTACTGCAATATCTGTGGGAAGTACCCAAATATAAGAACAACAAATAAAATGGCCTTACTGTCAGGGCTGAAACATTTATTTCAATAATCACTTTTCCCCTCACAGAGATGACAATATTTTTCCCCCTCTCCCATCCTAATATGAAAGCCTGTAAACAAAATAATAATTTGTTTTTCTCTGAACTGCAATACCTGACTTGTTTGGCTTGGCAAGTGATTGGCTTCAGATATTTCTTGTGGGAAATTGAATTCACAGCCCTTGCTGTTTTACATATTTGCTTAATAAACCTTTCATATCTATTATTTAGAGTGGAGATACTAAAGTTAACTTTATACAAAGCAACTTCTCCAGTTCTGGTCATTTAGCAGAAAGCTCAGTAGTAAATCTAAGGCAAATTACTGTCTTTCCACACAAATCAAGGAAGTAGTGACAAGAGCAGCTTTTCATGCCCTTGAAACCCTTCACTGCTGAAAAACTGAAGAGTCATCCTCTGCTCTGGGCTAACAAATAAGAGAACCCACAGATGAGAAGACCCAGGAATCCATTCCCTCTTGGGGAATGCTTGCTCTCGCTGCAGCCACTGGAGGGGGTTTTGCCAGGGAAGCAGACCTGAGTAAAAGAAGTTGAACCTCGTGGAAGAACCACGGACCACCTTCTCTACAGGGAAAGGCAAAAAACCTCTTCTCTTTTCGTGCCATGGAGGCAGCACAGCAGGCAGAGGCAGCACATGCTTCTCAGGAAGCCGATTTGGATGGGTCAGGAGCAGAGGGCATCCAAGAACCTCAGCTTTCCCTGCCAAGGCAGAGGAGCTGCTGCCCCCTTTGACAAGTCCCAGATCAAGGGTTCGAATGTCCTACAAACCTACCTGTCCACAGCCACATCCAAACACAGCCAGCAGAACATGCTGCTGACACATGTCTTTTAGTTCAGGACAACAAGGTGAAACATCTCCTCATGTTCTCTGTTTCGTTGCATCAAACACCCTTCAAACTAAGATTGTAGAGGAAAGTTAGAAGATGCAAACTCATGCAAAAAAAATAGTCCCTAAACTACCTTAATTTAGCATTTTTAGCCCATGGCTGTATTTGTTGATGTGCCACAGCTGAAAAGAAAATCATGCTCGCCAAGAAGTTTACTCCTGGAAGGAAAATGACACCTAGAATAGCCCAATTTTAACTGCATTTCTTTCCTACTTAACCCCCCCCCCAGTGTTCAAACAAGAAGGAACCCCAGGCCTTGTCAGGATTTACAGCCTTATCCATCAAATGGCTCCAGGATCTTTTCAGAAATGAAAAACATAAATATTATGGAAACAGTAGGACCTCAGGGGCTGGAGCCAGGGCTGAGAGAACCAGCCTTAAGGGAAAATACTGACAAGGCCATCAGGAGAAGACTGCTTGGCAGCAACAAGTGCCAGTAAAACTTCCCCACGGGAGTAATTAAATGAAGTATTGAAGTCCGTTAATTACATGAATGAAGAGTTAAAGTTCACACCAAGCAGAGCTCAGGAATGCTCCAGTGGCAAGAGGACAGCTAGAAAAGCTGACAGCTTTGCCCTGGTTGAGGCTCAGCTGTCAGTGGCACCACGGGCAAGAACCACATGGGGGTTTTCTGAAAGCTGCTTAGACATCAGGCTGCCCACAGGAACAGCAAACGTTTCCTTACCCAGCAACCTTCCTGCAAGACCAAACCATGTGGAAAAAGAATGGGACAGACTTCCACAAAGATATTTGAACACAGCAGAAGAGAAGCAGAGGACAGCTAGGGTACTGTGGGGACCTTGCTGCTCTGGGTACAAAGCTCTGGCTGTCACAACCCAACTGTAACAAAGGGAGACAAGCACAATCTGCTCAGTCCACAGATGAAACACCCTGCCAGCCTGAGAGCAGCAGGAGCAGCTGTGACTGCTGTCAGGCACCAATAAAAGTGGTTTTGAACATTTTTATTTTCAAAGGAGGAGGCCACAGAGATGATCCCTGGGCTGGAGCAGTTCTGCTCTGGAGCCAGGCTGGGAAAGTTGGGGTGTTCAGCCTGGAGAAGAGAAGGCTCCAGGGAGACCTTAGAGCAGCTTCCAGTGCCTGAAGGGGCTCCAGGAAAGCTGGGGAGGGGCTTGGGACAAGGGCAGGGAGGGATGGGACGAGGGGGAATGGATTGAAACTGGAAGAGAAGAGATTTAGGTTGGAGATCAGGAGGAGATTCTTTAGTGTGAGGGTGGTGAGAGCCTGGCCCAGACTGCCCAGGGAAGCTGTGGCTGCCCCATCCCTGGCAGTGCTGAAGGGCAGGTTGGATGAGGTTTGGAGCAACCTGGGCTGGAGGGAGGTGTCCCTGCCCAAGCAGGGGGTTGGAACTGGATGGGCTTTAAGGTCTCTTCCAACCCAAACCAATCTGGGATTCTGTGATTCTATGATGCTGAATTCTGAGCCACAATAGCAGAGATCAAAATCTAGCAGATAAGACCACATTTTTCCTACAGCAATCTTCTACCCATTAGAAGTCAGAGAAAGTTTTTGGAGAGCTCTAAATGTGCACATCAGTTTTAGCTGTTTCTGAAGTACCCCAGCCTTATTTAATTCAGTTAAAATACTGCTAACAATTATTTCATACTTTCTGCAGCAACACTTAGTCTGCAAACATTAGACTTTGTATTTGTAAATCTTAAAACTC